CTATTAGGTCCAGTCGTGACCGACTCTGGGGTTGCGGTGCTTATCTCGCTTTATTGGCCGAGGGACCCGGCGTACAGCTTCCGGGTCATGTGGCCAGCATGACTAAGCCGCTTCTGGCGAACCAGAGCAGCGCACGGAAACGTCGTTTACCTTCCCGCCGGAGCGGTACCTATTTATCTACTTGCACTTGATGTGCTTTCGAACTGCTAGGTTGGCAGGAGCAGGGACTGAGCAATGGGAGCTCACCCCGTCACGGGGATTCGAACTGCCGACCTTCTGATCGGCAAGTCCTAGGCTCTGTGGTTTAACCCACAGCACCACCCGTGGCTTGTGTAAATAAACATTTTAAGTTGTTGTCTAAAACTGAACACCGTGGATGCTTTTCTAACACAGGGAGGCAATGAATGATGCAATATAGGTGCTGCTGCATTATAGAATCATAGGATTGTAGAGTTGGAAGGGACCCCAATGGTCATCTAGTCCAACCCCCTGCAATGCAGGAATTAAATTATTCATTCCAACTGGCCACCATATGGATGTCGTATGGGACAGTGAGCAATGCTTCTAAGCATAGCTAAAACAATTTAAACATAATTTCAACCACACTAAAAGGCAATAGTGCAAAGCCTTCCTTCAAAGCCTCCCAAAGCCTAGATGTATAAAAAGCTTTTGGAAGGAGCTAAAGAGAGAGACTGCCTGATTTCCCCTGGGAGGTCCATAAGAAGGGTGCAGCCACCAAGAATACCCTGTCTTGAGTCCAGGGCCAGCCCCAGACATTTTGGCACCTGAGGCGATTCACAAAATGACACCCCTCTTCCCACCAGGGAAGAAGGGGTGAGTGAATATCTACATCAAGAATGAGGGTGGGAGGAATGAAAGATCTGCGGCCCCTGTGGATCCTGCCACCCAAGGCAGTAGCCTCACCTTGCCTCATGAATGGGTCAGCCCTGTGTGGGTCCTTGTTCTCCATTATTATTATTATTTTTTTAATAAAATTTTTATTTGGTTTTCTGGTTTTATAGAGGTAAAACATACACAAAGAAAAAAGAAAGACAAAAACATGTATAAAATCAGCAAATCCCCGTTTCATAAACTTGTTCCCTGACTTCCCCCCACCTCCCCTCGTGCATCCCAGTTTCAAGATTATATCAGCAAGTTGGTATTTCTCCTCTTAACAATCTTATTCATCTTATTACCTTTTTTATAATAAAAATTAATTTTCCTAAGTTGGACTTAAGTTCTCTTCCATCGATTTTCATTTTATCTTAATTTAGAGTCATATTAACCAAACCTAAAAGTCTTAAGAGTTTTTAAAAGTCTCTTCTTCCCTCCCTCCCATCCCCGGTTTTTGTCCCTTCCCAATAAAGATCCAGATTCGAGGTTCTCAGCCTGGATTCCTCACGTCCGAGGCTTTCAAATCTCTTTCAGTCCCTCTCCGCCTGTCCTGTTGGTAGTCCTTTATGTCAGTCGTCAAGTCTGGGAAAAGTTCTTTCACCATCAAAGTGTATCCTCTTCCCACAAGGGGATTCAAAAGTAACTGCTGAAGAATTTCCACAAAGCCTATCTCTTCAAGATCAAAGTCCAAACGGAGGCCCCAATCATATTTCTTTATTTTAAATTTCTGTATTCCATTTTGTCCCGGGACCTCCTCCTTCTTCTTCTGTATCTTTCGCAGACTTGTAGTAGATATGTTCCCAGCGTTTCCTTGCTTGTGTTCCGCAGATGTCAGCTTTTGGTTGTTGCTTCCCAGGATTACTTCTTCTTTTTCTTGTTGTTTAGTCTCTTCCAACTCTATAGGTATTGTTTCCCATTCAGCTGTGAATTCTTTCTCGTTGAGGTCCTCAATACAAAGAGCAGAGTTGCCTGTTCCCAAGGTCATAGTCTCAAGTTGTTTATTCATGGCCAAGCTCTGCTCTTGTAAGATTCCCACCAATTGAAACATCCTTTCGATTTCCACTAGTAACTTTCCTTCCACAGCCATTGTATCCATTGTAATTTCACAGAATTCCCCCTAGGGGGAATCTGGTTACTTATTAGCCTTTTCACCAACAATCCTTTAACTAATTATTATTACTTTGTTTCCAACAGTTTTAGCTCAATTATAGCTCGTCTTAGTCCAGAGGGATCTTAGATGACAATTTTTCCACTTTAAACCGGCCGTTTGGCAGCTTTGACAGCTGTCAAACTCCGCAGCTCTTACACAGGCACCAAGGCAGGACGTTCCCGAGCCCGGGAGGGGGGGTTGTTTAAAGCAAAAAGAAGGTTCCCAAAACTCCACTCTCCAGCCCAAAGTTTCCTTTAGTTAAATCTTGGAAGTTAATGTCCTTTTTAACTCACCCCACCAGGGGTAGGCTCTCCAGCTTAGCTCTTATGCCGTTGCTTAGATCGTCTGCAAGGGGGGGGGGTGCGGACTTCCTTTTAGCACACCCCCGATCGTCTCCAATTCAAGGTAAAATTTTTATAAAGTCCCAATCCGTCTTACTCACGGGTGATTCTTTCAGTCCAAATTTTCAAGGAAGGAAGTCAGCGCTCTCTGGTCATGGCTCGCGGCTTCGCTCCACCGAGGTAGCGATCGACTCTCAGTGCCACGCCACCCCCGTATCCCCTCCGCAGCCTTTAAAAAGGCTCTTTGCGAATCAGGGGGGGCGCTTAAGGCACCCGCCGAGTCTTCAGTCCGCAGGCTTCCGCGCCTGCGGTTTTTAAGGGTCCCCGCGTTGTTCTCCATTATTATTATTATTATTATTATTCCTAAATCTTTCTTTCATCTATGAGCTCACTGCTTCATCTCTTTATTCTTTACAGTTTGTTAACAGTTCCTCCTCCCCTGCTTTCTCTTTGCTTTTCAAACAGATGGCAAGAGTAAGTGTTGTACATTTTTTAATGTAATTGAAAATTCAGCACATCACCATATAGCCACATCAGCAGGAGTATGGGACACAGCTTTGATCCTATCTAAACTGTTATTCTAGAGAGCCTGTATTGCTGCACAAAGATGAGCTGCGATGTTCAAGGAGTACATTACACATGCCTAGCTTAGGTGAACACAACCGACACAACCTTTTCAGACTTGCTCCGCAGTCCACATCTACCAGACTGACAGTATCTCTTAGATCACAGTAATGAAAATGACTGATCAATTAACCAACCTGTGATTTAAACAGCATCAAATGCAACAAATTAATAGTGAAGAAGTCATGGATGATCTAAAGTTACATTAATGCTACTTACGCTTGCTGTCATCTAAAATATACCGTAACTGTCAAAAGTTCTGCGCAGGGAGCATTAAACATGAAACTAATGCCATCCCCCTTTAATGGCTGTAGCTGGGGATGAAGAGCTTTTCTCAGATCTCAAATTCAGGTGTCTCCTTGAATTCATGCTGAGAATAGAAACATGCATTGCTTCTCTTGATATCCTGGTCCTCATCCCCATTTATTTTGCAGTGATATGAGGGATATCTTACATGTATGGATGACTCAGTACAGCATATATAAGAACTTTATTTTCACATCACACATGGTGGTTTTCAATTGAGGGCATCCGTACATTCAGTTGACTTTCATCAACTGAGCAATCTAGTGCTGTATATGAATGCATGTGGGAGCCACCCCCTTGAGATTTCATGGTGCTTCCCTATTTCTTAAACAAAATCTGCCTATAGAGGAACCTTCTCTTCTCTCTAACATGTGAGATTTTGGAACAGGTGACTCCTTTGAACATGTGCAGCAAGGGAAGTCGCTTACAGGTTTTGAATGTCTAACTTTTTAAAGTATCACTTCCAAGTCCACAGCTTTCATTTGGATTGTTGAAGGGATAAGGCAATTAGGCATCTGCAGGAGCTAATTTTTCACCCTGCACCCCTTTTTCAAAGAAGATCCACTTCTCAGTTCCAGACTTTAAAAAACATAACACATGCAATACAATCTCAAGAAAGTCACACACAGAGAGACAGAGAATATTCCGAAGTCCCTGAAAAAAACCTACCATTTATTTTCAATCGGGGGGACGGGTGGGGAAGGAATGCATATTTTCACACATTTTCCTGCCTATTTCAGTGATAGGGACTTTACTAACTTATAGTCATTTTCCATTTTAGGGAGACCATTCAGTGTCTCATAATGCTGGAGCCCACAAGTGAAACTCAGAGGACAGTTGTTCTGCAGCTACCCTATTTTGATCTCTCTTGGTGCAAAACCATTCACGTTTTCCAACATGACCACTACCTGAAGCTAAAAGTATTTCACATTAAAGAGCTGAATCTCCTGTGCTTCTGCTGTATAGCACTCACCTTAAAACACACACACACACACACACACACACGCAATGTAGCAGCACAAAATTCAGAGCTTTCGCATATTGCACAGAAGTGAGTTAGTTTCTTCTAAGTGGCTGCCTTTCCAGAAGGACTGACCTGGAGCAATGCATTCCATCCAGCTGAGTACCACAATAATGCACACGCTCCCAGGACTCAGCTCAAGGGATGGTTCTGCGCCATGCCACTAACCACAGCTGTCAGCAAATACATTAACAGCAAGGAAGGAAGGGTATGGGGTGAGGAAAAATCATTAATGACATGCGGCATGACCCCAAGACAAGTCTCTGTGGCTGCACACATTTGCAGATCTAATTTGTGGGCTCTTGAGTCAGATAAGGCAAGCAAGCCAGATGCAGGAAAAAAAAGATGTAAGAACAACAAATATATTTGTCAGGCTACCTCAGTTTGGTGTATGGCTTTAGAGGACTAGATTCTTTACTGATTTTCATTTGATGTTTTTAATATAACTTTAAATGTTATTCTTATTTATTAATTCTTCTGTTTATTTACTTGTTTGTTTATTTGTGAACTCTCTAGAGCACCTCCATTTAGGAGTGGAAAGCTAAGGTGTAAACTAAGGTATAAACCTTAGTGACAGGGCTGGCACCAGGTTCCAGGGGGCAGGCGCAAAACATGAAGCCCCAAGCCACAACTGCACAGTATTTTTCTTCTTCTGATCACTCACCACTCATATATACAGCCACATGGGGGACCGAGATTCCAGTTCCAGTTTGCGCCTTCATGCATTCTTTGAATCCTGACAGAGAGCAAATAACATGGAAAAGCAAATAACTAAAAAAAATCTCAGAAAATAAAAGAGAGAGATGCAAGTTCCAGGAAAGCCTGTTTGGGGAGAGCACTCCATATCCAGGGTGCCACCACTGAAAAGGGCTTCTCTCCAGTGACCAAGGGCCTCACCTCATAAGAACAGAAGAAGCAGCTGCTGGATCAGGCCAGCATCCTGTTCTCACAGGGGCCAAACGGATGTTTGTGGGGAAACCCAAGCAGGATTTGAGCACAAGAAGACTGTCCCATCCTGTGCCTTCCAATAGCTGGCACTTCAGCTAGGTCGTTTGGCAAACTTCTGGAGAAGGGCCTTTGGTTCCAATCTTAAGGACTGGGCACATATACTGTACAAAGAAGGAGGCAATCCTTCCTATAGTCTGGCCTTCAGCTGTTTTAAGCTGTAAAGGTTAATACCAGAAATTTGAACAGGGCCCATCGAGGAACTGAAAATCAGTGCAAATAACTATTGGTACAATCTATAATATCTAGCAGTTCCCAAGAATATTCCTACTGCCTTACTTTGGATCTGCTGCAGTTTTGGAACCATTTTAAAGGGCAGCCTCACTCACCTATTTTTAAGAGAAATGCTTTTACAAAAAGTAGACCAGGATCATCCTGCATGTATTGCCCTGCTCCTTGATGGCACCTGAGCAGCTAAGCCAATGGCAGCCAGAGGGACAAGGACAACTTTGCTTGCTCATACGCACTGAGGCTCAGGAGATCTGGCACTTGCTGGATATCCACACAAGGCTGATTGTCTGCTTATATACTAGTACAGTCATACCTTGGGTTACGAACACTGCGGGTTGCACGTTTTTGGGTTGCGGACCGCACCAAACCCGGAAGTACCCGAATGGGTTACTTCTGGGTTTCGGCACTTTTGCATGCGCAGAAGCACAACATGACATCAGGCGCATGTGCAGAAGCGCCAAATCACGTCACACGCATGCACAGACCCAGCACTTCAGCCTATGAGCGCTGCGGGTTGCGAACGTCCCTCCTGCACAGATCACATTTGCAACCGGAGGTATGGCTGTATACAATAATCATAACACTTATTAGCAGTAGAGTTTTCAGAGTTATCTGGTACACATTAACTATCCAACTGAGATGTTTACTTGGGAAATACCCATCGTTGCACAACCTGAGAGAAAAATCAAGAACAATAGGGAGCCTTGGCAACCAATCCAAAACAAACCTATTTATGAAATATGTCCATTTATTGGAACTTGACTTCAAATGACCTTAAAGTGTGCTAGTTACAGGAGCATTTATGATGTGTCTTGAAATGAATAACTGAAGTCTAAAAGAGCACTAAGATCCTAAATTACATATTTTGAGGACTCCTAAATCTAACTCACTGCACTTTTTTTATAGCTCTCTACTTTATATCCTCAGAGATTTAGTGAACTATGTGCTGCAACTAGTCTAGTCTAAAATTACAACCCTTGCATATACATATTTTAAGCAGCATCTTTTATAGAGAGTCAGTCACATATATACTTTTTTTTTAAAAAAAGAAATCAATAGATGAACTTGCTAAAACTGGATTAAACCATAAACCTAAATATGAGAGGTGAGAGGAAGATGGAAAGAGGCACAGAGAGGCAAACTGTTGGATAACTTATAAAAATTAATGGCAGGGCCCACTGCGGAGCTGTTGCATTTTCTAATTTCTGGGAATAGCCGTGAGGTTTTGTCAGCTGGCAGCAATTCCAGCAGAAGCATGTTGCAGAGAAGTCTAATCTGCTGTTCTTTCCAGTAAGAATTGAACAGCCAGGGGACTTCTTTAGCAGCAGTGACACAATGGTGTCAAGTGTGACGGTTAACAGCGCTACCACAACAACTATGGCTATTAGGAAAGGGAATTGCAATGGCAGAAGCTGAGTCAGAGTTCACAAGGAAGAAATCAGATTCTTGGGCCTCACTGCTCAAGCAATTCCCAACAACGCTGGCCATTTAAAGGAATACCCAACCTACAACATGTGACTCTATGAAAAGCCAGCCCATGGCTACACATAGACACAGAGCGAGAGATATGCCATTTTAGTTACTTGTAGCCCACCCTTCTGCTACACTTAGGCCAGAGTAATACAGAAAATACAACCAGTCATGCCAAATGATGCAGTAAAATGGAACAATATCATGACACCATCAAAGAGGCACCCAAAACCAGCAGAATAGGCTATAAGGAAATCCCCAATTAAAATGTTAAAATGCTTGGTCAAATAAATATGTTTGATTTGTGCCAGAATGATTGCAATGTTGGTATTAGCCGTACTCCTGTGAGGAGGGCAATTTCACAAACAAAGTATAATTCACTGGTAATACATGTACAAGCAATGAGAAATCACCAGGTGTTTGGGGTGATCCCAGAGTAAAGTTTATGACTGACACCACAGAGGGGAACTCAGTAAAAGTGGTTTTCTCACATTTTACACTAGATGCTATAAAGTGCAGTGAAGAAATTTCATACCAAAGTAGCTGGCTATTATTTCTGACAATGCATTTCACTGCCTTCCATCGCTGGACTTTAGATTTCTCTCTCGATGCAATAAATGGCTATTAGCCTTGAGAGCTACATGTTCCTAGCTGGTGTATCCATTGCCAGAGGACAGACAGTGTTGCCTTCATGGTCCACTTGTGGCCTCACTGGAAGCATCTAGCTGGTCATCCTTGGAAACAGGATGTAGAGCTAGATAGATCTTTGGCATGATCCAGCAGGGCAAGTCGGGTGCTAGGAAAACAGAGCAAACTGCCTTATGCCTTTGCAGACCAATGGCCCATCTGCCTCAGCATTGTCTGCACTGACTAGAATGGCTCTCGGGAGTCTTTTGCAGTCCCACGCAGAGATGCTAGGGATCGAACCTGGGAACTTCTGCATGCCAAGCAAGTGCTCCATCACTACATTATGGCCCTACCTGGCAATGTTCTGGTGTTATGTGAGGCATAGTAAAAGGTAAAGGTACCCCTGCCCGTACGGGCCAGTCTTGACAGACTCTAGGGTTGTGCGCCCATCTCACTCAAGAGGCCGGGGGCCAGCGCTGTCCGGAGACACTTCTGGGTCACGTGGCCAGCGTGACATTGCTGCTCTGGCGAGCCAGAGCCGCACACGGAAACGCCGTTTACCTTCCCGCTAGTAAGCGGTCCCTATTTATCTACTTGCACCCGGGGGTGCTTTCGAACTGCTAGGTTGGCAGGCGCTGGGACCGAGCAACGGGAGCGCACCCCGCCGTGGGGATTCGAACTGCCGCCCTTTTGATCGGCAAGCCCTAGGCGCTGAGGCTTTTACCCACAGCGCCACCCGCGTCCCTCGTAGGCATAGTAGCAGACACCAAATATAGGATAGTTCACCCAAAACTGAATCATGGCATGAAGAGCCCTCCCACCAACAGGCAGGGGCGGAGGAAGGGGGTGCAGTGGGGGTCGCCCCAGGTGTCACCACTGAGGGGGATGACAAAATGCTGGGCGGCACTCACCGGGGGGGGGGGGGCTGCGGCGCGCCTGAGCTACATGTCTCTCCTGGGAGTGACACAGTGGCTTGGGCGCCCGCAGGCTCCACACTGCCCCAAATGGTCTGCCTGCCGCCTCCCCCTCAGCTGTAGGGCAGCTGAGGGGGAGGAGGCAGGCAGACATCTCGGAGACCTCACAGAGCGTCCTGCTTCGGCTCGCCCTGCCCCCTGGGTGCCTGGCCCCGCCCCTGGGTGCAGGGCATGCACGTCCTCTGGGCGCCCGATCGGCTTGCTCCACCGCTGCCCACAGGTTCGCACACCGTCTGAGCGTGCCAGCTATTCATGGATGGGAGCGGCCCTCACAAAATCCATCCACCACAAAAATGGAGGTCCACTTTAAATGGTATGTGCATGTTGAAGAAGGGACCATAAGCCCAAGATTTACAGTCCTATCTCACTATACACAGAACCTATACATATGTTTCGTTCCACCGGCAAGGTATTGTCTGTGCTTGCCCCTTCACTTACCTCCTAACTTGCTTCAACTTCCAGTGCTGCTCCCAGTTTGTTCAAGAGAAATACACACAGAGACCAATGTGCAATTCACTAACCTTTTCAAAAAGGTTATTAGCATCCTTGGTGTGTAAGCACTGATAATAACATAACAAAGATAACTTATTTGTAAATAATTCTGCTATATGGAAAGGAATGAATTTCAGTAAAGGAATGACTCATTCCTCAAGCCTACCTTCAAAAATCTTTTGCTGAAACAACCCCACCCCCGGAGATAGCTATTTTGTCCTATAACTGTGGTTAGTTTTCACTCATAGCAAATTTTGAAGGTCTTTGGCTATGAATAGCTTCATTACATCAACAAGAAGACAAAAGTCTTGCTTGTGATTTGTGTGCGATATTGGTGGCCTTATCCCAACTTCTGCTTTATCTGATCTGCCACTTTCAAGACATTTTAAAAAATTGTTTCCCCCCTGAAATGATAAAAAAGTTCCTTCCTTAAATGATCCCTGCCAATCAGGGATTATGCTGAGATAATATTATTGGCTGCGTGATTTTGACACAAAGTCAAATCAAAGTGAAGACAATGCTTCATGCTGCCTTTCTAAATACTGTAGGCAAAGGTTTAATCCTCTTTCACAGCCCAACCCCAAACTGGTGAAAGACATTGTCAAAGGAAGAGAGGGACTGAAACACGCACATGCCCTATTTTGACGTCACCTTTATTGCTGTGCGCAGTTTGTGACCGATCCTATAACTGTAGTGTGCAGCAGTCCTATTGGCATTGCTGATAAAAATATAATTGCTGTCATTTAAAAACCTATAATACTGTATAGGCTATATGGGCCAATTACTTAGACTGCTCTTGTCTGGACTGATTTCACCAATATAACAGCAACAGAACTGGTGGGTTACAGGTAGGTAGCCGTGTTGGTCTGCCGTAGTCCAAACAAAATAAAAAAATTCCTTCGAGTAGCACCTTAGAGACCAATGAAGTTTGTTATTG